AATGGCAATTGTAGACATGTAGGCAAATTTTGCTGTTAGCTCTCGGAGGCAGTTGTATCCTGTCCAATATAAAACAATAGACTCCTGGGAGCCCTTCCTTGCCTCTTCGAAGTAGGTAGCCTGTGCGCGAAGTAGAAATCCAACGCGGCATGATCCCAAAGCTACACCTCGTTTCGGGGTCGAGCTGTTATGCCAGCATTGATCAGGAAGTTGTCGCTTTGGTCACCAGGGTTTACGTATTTTGTCCACTCTCCGGTGAAGCCTTTAACAAGGGATGAAGCGTAGTATGTTATAATTCCAGTCATTTTGGCCTTACAAGCCGCTTCTCCCGCACGTTTGGCAGGTTTTTGGAGCAAGCGATACAATCTCAGAAGTCATCGTCGAGATATCACTCGCTGTCATGGTTGTTGCGCGTATTGGTAGTAAAAACAAAGCGTTCAAAAACCGCGCAGCAATAGAGATTCCTGTACCTCGATGGGTTCACAAGGAATTGGTTGAGATCCAGCGTTAGCGGAAGCGTGGAATCGTGGAAGCGCAGTTGATGTAAAGCAGAAGTGAAGCATTTCTGTACCTCAGGGGCCACAACAACTTGACGCACTAAGTCATTTTGTGCAATAGGTTGGGATGAGAGCTGATGGGATTTGGAAATGAGGTTGGAGTACTGGTGTCGGCTTGGTTAGCTGAAGGAGAAAGAGGCGGGATCGGGGTCATGTCAGGGTAATATCGTCGGAGTGGTATCGATCGGAAATGGAAAACAAAAATTGGGGCAAATAACCAAATCGCTGGGCACACCCATGATTTGATTCCTCGCCTCAGTTGCGCGGCGATCCGCGCCCATTTCAAAAAGCCGCCAATTTGTGTTGGTTTCAATGGGTCTTTCTCGCAAAGACTGGGAAACTACGCAATGACGGGTGAGGTGTATATTGTTTGATTGGCATCAGATGGGACTAACGCTTACAATGCGCGACTGAAAATTTGGCAATTAATTAGCACAATTTATAGCCATTTATTTTTCGGGTTGGAAGTGATTCATTACAGAACTATTCAATGGCACTGTAGTCACTGCCTCATATATCAGCATCGGGGTCGCGATCTGGCATTCCAGCTCTGTGCAACCGCAGGGACATGCGCCTCGCACGCTTCCGACGATAGCGCTCCTGGGACTGCCGTCGGCGCTCTACTTGTTCCACACCGATGTGCAGCTGGCGATTTTTCACACGCTGATATCGATCCATGTTTTCCTGCCGAAGTGGATGCCAAGTAATGTGCAAATTAGTCAGCGCAGCACATAGCTGAAAAATAGTATCGTAGCTGCTCTCAGACCACTTCCATTTGCTGGAGACAACCGCCCATAGACCACACGCCCTACCGAACCAGTTATCTACAATTATCCTGTCTGACGAGATTTTCCTGTTAAACTGCTCGTCATCGACCGACAGACAGGCATTCTGCGGTTTCTTTTTTGGGCTGACTAAGCGAACAATCTCTGCTCCGCCCTGGTACCCCTTGTCGGCCAAAATCGCCCATTGCCTTGGATACTCACCTGCCAACAATCCAAGATCTGTTACATGTCTGTCACTTCTCGCCTTCCTCACATTCACGTCATGAAAAGCCCTGTTTTCTTTAAACATTTCAAGGTCTGACACTGACCCGGGCACGTGCTCTGAACAGCCGATAGCTAAGCCATTTGGGAGAACTGAAACCTCCACCTTGTAGCCGTAGAGCTTATGTTTTCCGGAGCAAAACTTTTTTCCCTCCTGCATGTTGCCACTAGGCCGGTTGCACATATGAAAAGTGACATTTACAGCGTAGCGAGCGAACGAAAAGTGCTTGAAAGTAGACTTTTCTTTCAGCATTTCAGTCATGGAGTACAGCTCTCCATTTTGAGCGACAAGTGTATCATACAGGTGCGTAGAAAGCGTGTTCACGAAGCGCATTATGAGTCTTTCGAAGGTGGGACCCTTCAGGGAAAAGAGATTTGCCAACAAATCCCACTGCCCGCCGTGTTTTAGGGTAGTGAGCGTCATAAACAAGACGTCCTTTGCCGAATGTGGTGACTTGCGCCCTCGACCACAATTGTAGTGGGTTGTGATAAAATCTCTGTAGTTTGCCCAAATGATTGTGAACTCCTCTGGATCAAAATTGATCATGGTGACAATTGCTCGCCCTCCGCCGCGCTCGTAGAACCGATCAAAGATCGGGCTGTCAGAGTCGCTTTCTTCATCTGAATCGGAGACGTCAGGCTGAACTGAGAATTTCTCAAGCTCGTTCTGACGCTCCACTGCAGCGTCAGCAAGAATTTGCAGAGCGTTGGCGGCGTCAGCTGAGGAATAATTCTGCATGTCGGTGTGCCGCAGTCAAGAGAGCAGAGGCCGGAACAGATCAGAGGGGCAGGAGGGGGACAGAGGAGCGGGTCGGCGTTGCAGGGGGGATGGGGAGGCAGATCGTGGCAGAGAGAGGGGGGTGGAGGAGCGGATCGGGGGAGCGAGTATGGGGTGGAGGAGCAGGTCGGAGGGGCAGATGACAGATGGAGGAGCATGTGGGAGGGGCGGGTTTGGGGATTGTGGAGTGGATTGGGGGCCAGGGGGGTGTGGCGGCTCCGATACGAGCGAAGCGGTTGTGTTATTGTAGAAAGACTTGGGCATTTGACAAAAGCCTCGGTCAGGGAATGGGGTGGCCTGAGGCTGCTCAATCACAATAAGCTCATGAAGCTACCACGTAATTGTGGTCGTGCTGCCCCTTGCTGTAGAATAGCTGCGTACTGAATTATGGCACTGTAAATATGTACTGTTGGAAACATATCCAATTGTGGATGTATTTTATTGATGATGATTGATTCTTACGGCTTATACCCCACAACTACGTGGAGGGCCTAATGAGCTAATCGTTACAGCCTGAATCATTATTTTATTCCCAGTTGTGCACTCGTGTAATGCTTGTCTATTCCCATGTTGACCGTGTTTCAAGTTTTTGTTTGGTTCCAACATGAACCCTTGATTGCGACCCTGTTTTGGTCGTTTCCTTGGTTGGTGGGCGTGTGCAGCAGGTACCCCCGTAAACAGGGTCATTCGGGGCGCCTTGCTGTGTTCCCTGCGCCGTGGCGCGTGCCGGTATTGTAGCCAATAGGAGTAAAGCATTTGCAACCAATGGGCGACCAGCGCCCTTCGTGACCTTATTTTTTGGGCCAAAGTGGGGCACCCCCCTCCAAATGAGCTGCAAACGAAGGTGTGGGGCCCCCGCCATTTCATTGGCTATCAACCGGGGCACCCCCCCTACAACAATTTATTTATGAAAGCCATTCTACCCTTTCTACCCGACGGTAGAATGTCACTATACCGTTCACAGGAGGTCCTGGTGTGTACTGTAGCTACACTGTAGCTATGTAGTGTCTATTCGACCAAGCGTTATCATAACATACAAATCGGCGAAGTTTAATTCATTCAACTTTGATGTCAAAGGTTTCTATTTTTCTTTGGTAGATTAGAGAGTTTACGAAGCACAATTTTGAGACAAAATCAATGACTCTTTTTAATTTTTTTCTGAGGTTGGAACCGAATAGAAAACACTGAAGGCCAGGTTTCTATGCTACTAGTATAAAATTAGCTTAAAGAAAATGCTTACTGTAGACTGACTTCTTCTTTTGAACACCTCTATGTGTACCAATGAGTTGGTTTTCGCTAGAATCGACAACTGCGTGCTTTACCTGTAGTGATAGCCTTCTGGTTACAAAACACAGAAGTGAAATCGCGTGTTGCGTTGTCTAGAAAAAATAAAACAACTTTCGTCCTCATATGGTGAGGACTTACGGTCCGAATCACACTAGACGACCGGCAATTTGCCTCATATGAACAGCTGTTTTGCAATATATATACGTTAAATCGAAACTTTATAAAGTCTGTTTGGATAACATATCTTTAACGTACATGCCCTCGGCAATAACATCTTGCAAAACATTGGGATAACACTTGTCAAGCCCTTGACTAAGAATCTAATGAAGTTTCCATCTTCGGTTGAGATTTTAAACAGGCGTTTTGGTTTCGATGATATCAACACATAACGTTTTGAGGTTGGTCAACAAGGCTTCTTTTTTTGGCATTCTAAAAATGGCGGGAAAAGACGTGCAGATCTCACCAAACTCCACCCTTCCGCAACGCAGAAGTCAGCTGCGGTGATGAGAGTATCTTTTTCCTTCTTGTTGAGCACGCACAAGCTGAGAAAAAATAAGTTGAAAAGTGACCTCGCATGAGGTCAAATGGCCTCATATGAGGTCACTTGTCGTCTAGACACTAGGCTGCCTTGCCTCGTCCTCGCATGCGAGGTTTCGCCGTCTACAGACTCGCCGTGCTTGCCTGGAGTCTAGCTTTTAGTTGCCCGCAGCACTCCTCCTACTAGTGCCTAGGTGACAAATGTTCTCATATGAGGCCATTTGACCTCATATGAGGTCACTTTTCAACTTATTTTTCTCGACTTGTGCTAGCTCAACAAGATGGAAAAAGATACTCTCGACACGGAAGTTGACTTCTGCGTTGTGGAAGGGTGGAGTTTGGTGAGATCTGCACGTCTTCTCCAGCCATTTTTAAAATGCCCAAAAGGAGCCTTTTTTGACCAACCTCAAAACGTTTTATGTTGATATCATCGAAACCAAAATGCCTGTTTAAAAAGTCAACTCATCATTGATACTTCATAAGATTCTTAGTCTCTCTGTGCATTGACAACCGCCATCCCAATGTTTTGCAAGATGTTATTGCCGAGCGTGTATACGTTAAAGAAATGGTGTCCAAACTGAATGTTTTAAAGTTTCGATTTAATTTATATATTTTTGCAAAAAAAAAGCTGGCCTTATATGTGCCATGACTGACCTCATATGAGGTCAATTTGCTTGTCGTCTAGACACTAGGGCTCGCGGATTTTTCTTATGATTTTTTTCTGTGTATCCTGCATAAGCCACACCACTTTCAAGTCAGGTTTCCACGAGTATCATACCCTAACCCGTAGTATACATGGACTACAAGCGCCCAAGAGGACACTTGCACAGCGTGGAGCTGCGCTGCAGTCGACGTAGGTATTGCGTTTTGAGGTGCGTTTATGACGAAGATCCTGTACGGTACTGCATATTCAAAATCCCGTCTCCTCGACCCGTAACAGGAATGGAGCAACCGACATTCCTGTTACTCTTTCTGCAAAAGCCATGTGGAACGTTAAGGTTGGCCGTGAGCGAGCAAGTATTGCTCTGTAGCAACTCATTGGTTTGGATCGAAAGGGACGCTGCAATTAAACACTAGGAGATTCAGAATGATATCTTCGTCTGCAAGGGGATCAAGCGCATCGTGACGGCACAAAAAGACTAGTGTTAAAGCCTTGCACGGCAAATGCGATAGATGATTCTAGGTACAACACTTGTGGAAAGCCTGGTGTGATGTTCATCTCGAGACCAATTGCGAATCTTGCGGACAGTGCCGTGCAAAGACGACATCCGGTGTGCCAATAAATATTGGAGAAGTTAAAGGTGCTAGTACGCATGGGCTCACAGCATCGTCTGAAGAAGAGAGGTATGTGCCAGGGGCAATGGCAGCGGCACGTGAGTGGCGGAGCGCGTGACTCTGGAGACAGTAGGTTGTGTTGATGTGGTGCGAAGAACGTCTCAGCAATGGGAGGGGAATTGTGATACTGAAGTCGCGAGTTGGGAAATGATGAAGACCGGAGGTTGGTCTGTGTGGTACCCTTAAGGGTACTGTACAGACTGTGAACGGCGAATGGGTTCAATGGACTGCCTGTTTCCTGGGTGTGGGTGTGGGAGTGGGAGCCGTCGGCTCTTCTTTCGTGCACCTCCCACAGTGAGAGGTGCATGAAAGAAGTGAAGGTGAAGTAGCGGCGGAGATCCAGGCTCGAACGGGGATCGTGCTGGTGGGAGGCGGTAGGTGCGCCAGTTACACCGGTGATGGGATGGTGGAAAAAATTCGGGCGACGTCAGTGTGAATTTTTGAGTGCGTGCGGTCTTGAGTCGACGTGTTAGGGGTGGTGGGGGTGGGAAGAAATTATGAGTGCAATGTGGGAAGGCGATTGCGAATGATGAATGGTCGGGAATAGGCGGATGAGATGACACTACACGCAAAGGGAAATATGGGGTGGGAGGATGATTTAGAGATGTTGCATGGCGGAGGATTTAGTGGGTTGTAAGGTGTGCGAGGGTTAACGTAAGACGGCGGTTAGGGTGAATACCGCGAGGTTAGTGAGACTCGAGTGTGGGGTTGGTCAGTCCTTTGAGGAAGGCATTCTCACGGCGTGTCGTGATCACGGGGCGGTGCGTCCGAGTGGAGTGTTTCTTTTTGGATGCAGAGCGCGGAGGGTCAGGGTTAGTTCAAGACGACGATGGATTTGTTTTCGGATGACGTCGTAGAGATTTGGTGTGCGCAATGGATATGTGCCAACGTGTCGTGTATTCAAATAGACTTGGGACAGAGACACGGTAGCATTTGACGTCGACTTATTTGATTAGGCGCTGCAAAAGACGGTGTGCCGGCCTCGCATCGACAAGACAGGGAACGGCAGGTACAAGTGGTAACGGAAACTGTGGCTACGGTACCGTTGGCACGGTATCCTCCCGACACGGTAGTACTGTAGTGTACATAGTACACGTGTACAGGTGTTCTTCTATACAGTATTGCTCTTTGGTGGACCTCGTGTAAAGTTCTACTTTATGCTTAATTCAATGACTATTGTTGCGAATGCTATCTAATGCTCGTTATGCGAATACGTGTGTTCTATACTGTCCGTGATATGAGAGGACTTCGTGTTGTGTATCATACTGAATATGAGGGGCGGCAATCCGACAAATCAACACTGATTACATTACAGTGCGACACGGATACAGTACACGGATACAGTATACTGTACCGCGCCACCTGGAGAATACCATGGGCGCGTGCTTACGCATGCTTACAGAGCGAGCTTCATGCCTTGAGATCTCTCAAATATATTATTTCAACGGTGCACAGCAGTGCTCTATAGTAAAGTAAACTTTACCCTCGAGGGTACCCAAGGGTACAGTATTGTACAGTATACACTATGTGTACGTACGTCTTTTTTGAAACGTTAACCGATTGCTGTCGTACCCAGGGTAATGTTACCGTCAAAGAAAGGAATACGGTAGGCATTTTACATTACATCACTTCTGCACTGCTGAGCGCCTCTCTATTGGCTGATTGCCTTTCGCCCTATTGTTTTATGGATATAATTTCATGGTATGAATGAAGGCCACGGGTTTGGATTCTCTGGCCTTCATTGGGGAGCTCTCTTTCTTTCTTCCTTTAACTCCGCATGACGTGTACAAATACTTGTGTGCCACACAGTGATGACGAGCGAAATGCAACTTCCCAAACACGTCTGGAATAAAGTGCAGTTCCCCCCTGCGAACCCACCACTTATTTGTCGTCCATTCATTCACATCTCTCACAATCATACACCATGAACAAAAACCCCTGTCTCCGCGTCCCCCCCGCCCCCCCCCGTTTTCCCTCTACCCTGACGCTGACGGGGACCGCAACCCAACCCCCGTAACCCCCCCCCTCTGCCAACTCCACTCTGCCAGTATCAATACTTCCCTTCCATCTCCACCCTTCCGTATTTCAAAGCGGCGAATCCTCATACCACTGTGCCCCGCCTCTTCATCATGGAGGCCGCAGAAGGCGGGAACATTGCCCATCCCTTTACCCTCGCTGCCGAGGAGCTCGCGAGCGGCGTTGAACATCGCGACCCCGCTTGGCTTGAGGAGCACGGCGGCACCCAGGGTCTGGCCAAAGCCCTTCGCACCAGCCTAGATACAGGCTTACACGGCGACGAACTCGCTTCCTCGTTGCAACCGCGCGCAGACGCCTACGGATCAAATGTTTTCAAGTATCCACCCCCAAAGGGCTTTTTCCGCCTCATGCTCAGCGCCTTTAAGGATTTGACCATTATCATTCTGTGCATCGCTGCTGTCGCCAGTTTGATCATTGGTCTTGCCGTCGCCGATAAACGCGCTCACTACGGATATCTCGAGGGCATTGCCATCATCATTGTTGTTTGTATCGTCGTGCTCGTCCAAGCTACTATTGATCATCAGAAGGAGGCAAAGTTTCGTCAGCTCAATTCTGTAAAGGACAACTACGACGTTCATATCGTTCGCGCCGGCGCCACAGAGGCTCACTCAGCGGAAGAGGTCCTTGTTGGTGACCTCATCAAAGTCTCCGCGGGTGACAAACTACCCGCAGATGGTATTCTGGTTCAGGGCTCCGCCTTGAAAACGAACGAGTCTGCCATGACGGGAGAGCCCATTGATATTACAAAGGAAGTCGGTGCCGACGTCTTCATGCTATCGGGCACTACGATCTCGGAGGGTGTTGGCCACGTCCTCGTTTTGGCTGTCGGGGAACGCTCGCAGTGGGGCGTAATCTTGAAGGGGCTCATCGTCGAGCCGGAAGACACTCCTTTACAGGAACGTCTCGACCGTCTTGCATGGAACATTGGCAAGGTTGGTATTTTGTTCGCTACCCTTACCTTCTGTGTGTCTACAATTCGTTGGATTGTCGATTCCGCCAACGCTTCGCAATGGGAATTCAGCAATTTGCTTGATTTCTTCATTGACGCCATTACCATTGTTGTCGTCGCCATTCCAGAGGGTCTTCCGCTTGCAATTACGTTGGGGCTGGCATTTGCAATGCGCAAAATGATGAAGGATAACAATCTTGTTCGTCGTCTTGAGGCCTGCGAGACGATGGGCTCCGCCACCCAACTCAATGCCGACAAGACAGGGACTCTGACACAGAACAGGATGACTATCGTCGAAGCGAACTGGGGAGGCCAGCATTTCGTCTACGAGAACGCCGATGACCCGAAAGCTGTTGACGCTGATATGTCCGCCAAATTTAGAGACCTTGTGGCCGTGAATATGTCAGTAAATTCTCAGGCAAACCTGCAATTCAGCCACGGAAAGATTGACCACTTGGGAAACAAGACCGAATGCGCGCTCTTGCAGCTTGTCAACTTGTGGGGCAAGAACTACGAAGCGCTTCGCAAAGAGCACAAATCAGAACGCATCTACATGTTTGACTCCAACAAGAAATGCATGAGCACGTCGGAGCGCATCACAGATGAGACGGTTCGCTTACACACGAAGGGCGCACCGGAGATGGTTGTGAAGTCGTGCACGGGCAAACTGGCTGCGGATGGCGTTACGGTGGAAGCAATGGATGCCGAGGCACGGGAGGAAGTGGGGATGGTCGTAGAGGGTATGGCTCGTCGTGGTTTGAGAACTCTTCTCATGGCGTACCGTGATGTGAATCACGACGCAAACGACAAGGAATTTTGGGATAAACCCCCAGATAGCGAACTTGTTTATCTTGGTGTGGTCGGAATCAAAGATCCAATCCGGCCAGAGACGAGGGAAGCTGTGAAACAGCTCAAGGAAGCGGGCGTGACAGTTCGTATGGTGACAGGTGACAATGCGCTGACAGCAAGGTATATTGCGAGGGAAGCAGGCATCCTTGACGACGATGGTCTTGTCATGGAAGGGCCCGAATTCCGAAAGATGTCTGAAGAAGAAAGGAGCACCGTCGCACTTAAATTGCAGGTTCTCGCAAGATCGACTCCTAACGATAAGTTGATTCTGGTTAGTGCACAGAAGAAACTTGGGGAAGTGACTAGCGTGACAGGAGATGGAACTAACGGTAAGCTGTTGCCATTGTATCGCATTGTCGCCTACTCTTCCCACTGCAACAGTCCCCTGACTTTTCTCCGATTGCTACTTTTATGTCTCCCTTGTTTGTCTCTTTCTGCGTGTGGGTAGATGGACCAGCGCTAAAAGAGGCTGACGTTGGCTTTGCCCTTGGCATCGTCGGGACTGAAATTGCGAAAGAGGCGTGCGATATTGTGATTCTGGATGACAACATCCAGTCGATGACAAAGGCTGTGCTCTGGGGACGGAACGTGTATGAGTCCATCCGCAAGTTTTTACAGTTCCAACTTGTAGTGAACGTTGTGGCCGTAACGCTCAATTTCATTTCTGCGTGTGCAGGAGTACCACTCCCTCTGGGGGCTGTTCCATTGCTTTGGGTGAACATGATAATGGATTCTATGGGCGCCTTAGCACTTGCCACCGAACCGCCGAAAGGAGATCTTCTTCAGCGAAAGCCATTTGGGCGCAGAGCCCCTCTTATCAATCGCCCCATGTATCGAAATATCATTGGAATCAGCGTTTACCAGCTGATTGTATGTCTCATTCTACAATTCCGAGGAACAGACATTTTCGGGCTCGAATGTGACGGCGGATTATCAAATTGTGATGAAGTGGATTTGGAGATTAACACCATTATCTTTAACGTGTTCGTGTTCATGCAAATTGGCTCAGAAATCAATGCTCGTCAGATTGTCAAGAAAAACGTATTTTCTGGAATTCACAAGAGTGCTCTGTTTCTCATAATTATTGGAATCACCTGCTGTGTTCAGGTTGGCATCATGTTTGGCGTCGGAGGCACTCAAGTCGGAGAGTCGATTGGCATTGGCCGTATTAATGGTATAGCCTGGGGTACCTCGGCTGTCCTTGGAGCACTAGTGCTGCCATGGGGCTTCTTGGTTCGGTGTATTCCTCTGGATTGGTGCTACGGACCCATGGATGAAGATCCAACTGCGATGTCTAAATTGGAAAAGGTCCTACATGTTCCGAATAGAAAACTGCTTCATTTACCCCAAGATGATGGGTATGGCCCGGGTTATATTGACAAAATATCATCGGGGACCGCTGAGACGGTTGGCTCTAGTACTCCTCCTGGTGCCGAACACGAGGTTGCCGTCATGAATGGTTTGACGGGACCGTCTCCTGCGAAGGTCCGTTTACGGGTATTTGTCCACGCTGTTGCCTTTGTGAATGTGATATCGAGATCAAGGATGTCACGAGCGTCCAGCCAGACCCCGAGCCGGGCAGAAGATGTATGAAGGACAGCAGAAACTATGAGCTATACGACGTTATCTATATATTTATTGCGTTTCGCGCTCTACTGGTTTACGCGCAATTGGAGGCGAAAGGCAGACGAGGGATCTTCAGCGGTCTGATGGACTTCACATCACGCGCGGCATATACCCGATACATTTCTGGGCCACGAAAAAGTACCCTTCCCCGGGGGCTTAATTTGGGGCGGGGTTTATTTTGGGACAGCGTTATTATTTACCTATGCCAAGCGTCCTTCGGGCACTTGAGACCCAACCAAAGCGCGCCAAGTGCTTCGTATCATGTTGAGGAACATCTTGAATTAAACTGCTTTCCAAAGGCGGGTCGATCCGTGATAGGACTCTTCAAATATAAAGGGAGTGGTAGAAATCAACGACATCAAGTCCATTTTTTCATTTTTGCTTTTTGCTGATTTATTGGGTGCATCCAGAAAATAGCACTCTAACACTTTACCATTGTATGATAGTTTCAAAAATTGATTGTCCCCACCACTCTTGCACTCCATCACTGCCCTTCCGTGGCGGTTCCACCCCAGTTGGAACATGTTGCGAACTGTACACCCACTCGCACAACAACGTGAGAAAAGTGAAAATAAGAACTCAACAAAACAAACAACTCAACAAACAAGGGCAGATGATGAGTGTTTCCACCGGCAACCGTTCGCCGTCCGCTGTCCACGCCCGCCGTCCGGTATCCGGTATCCGCCATCCGCTATTCGCCGTCCGCCGGATGTTTGGAGCCGACCAATGACAGGCTCAGATATTGGAGATTTTTCTGGCAGGTCGCACTGTGTACATCGGCTAAAGATAGAGGTACAAACTCTTGTCCGAAAACTTATCTCTTATCGCGTTTCGCACCGTTACCAGTAGCGTATCCCTCCTTGTGCTCCTGTCCAAATGATTACATGATCATCAGCACAGCTTGTACTTTTCGTATCGAGAATCCTTTTCCCTGTCCTATGAAGCTAATCTGTTGCACGTCTACTGAAAATGTACCAACTGTGGTTCAGTCTCTCATTACCAATTACATACAAGGCACAAATCTAGCTCCTGAGTCAGGGTGCGTTTTGGAATCATGACTTCCCCGTAGCCTCTTGGAACGTTTAGCCCTCTGTCTCCTGCTTTCAGATCTGACGCGAATCCCTTTCCTCTTCTGTATCAGCTGGCGAACGTCCCGTATGCACAATATTTCTTCTCGTCCGCAGCAAAGCTCGAGGCTTTCTTTGCATAACTTCATGTGAACCCCTTCGTTGCTGTCTATTAGAGTTCTTTTAAAAGCATTTAGAACTACTGAATGCTCTGCCCCTCGATTGCCGATGAAGTGCACAACAAAAATACCATCCTTGAAATGGATCAGTCTTTCGATAGCTTTGCGTGGGGAACAAGACTGCCAATAACCATCAACCTGGCAATGCCGCAGCTCAAAGCCGGGCTCTTCTCTCGTAGCCAAACCCGCCAGTTCATTCTCTAAAAATTTGCTAAGGTCACGAAATTGTCGTCCTGTAAACAATGGTGCATACTTGATTATCTTTTCTGTAAAACATTCGCCCTTTAGTTCGCAAATTGCATTGAATAAAGAATCTTCTGCGCAATTTCCTGTTTTACCCCCCACAAAAACTTTAACATGCGGTTCGATTCTGAATTGCTTTGTTTTTATCGTACTTCCCCGAGCACCAAGACCGCCAACTTGTCGAATGTATCCAGGCTTTTCAGAACAATAGGCATCTAGAGCATCTAAAATCTCAATCCGTGATGGGGCCACCATCGAAAACCGGGAGGAATCTTCGCCGTCGGTTTCAGTGTACCGAGATATGTGGGATAGATCACATAAACGCTGTAATCCGGAAAATCGATCTATTTTGAGACTACACAAGTCAATCTCATGCCATTCGCCATCATCTTGGGATGTCATGTTTTTCCCCTGATTTTTACTCGACCCATAATATCTACCCGGAGTAAAACCAAGGCTTTCTTGCATTGGTGTTTTTGGTTTTCCTGTTGATATTGTTTAAGGAAAGACGGTGCACCGCATCACAATCTAGGCTTCGGTTAGGTAGAGCGTCCAACCATTTACAAATGCTTTTCCCCATCAAAGCTAAAAACCGTTCTCTGTCCATTTTCACAAGAGTGCTACCAAATTCGAAATCGATAAACCAGTCGGCGTTGCGCGGATTTCCTTCACTTCTCCACATTTTCTTCCAATCCTTCCTTCTTGCAAGCTCATCGTATCCTCTTTTTATATTTTTTTGTGTCAGAATCTGAATCTCTCGTTCCTGTTCTTGTCTTCTAGCCATTCGTATGTTGTAAAGTAAAAACGTTTGATGCAATTAACGATAAAAGGATACTTACTACCTACATTAGTACTACTTTAATATTGCCATTTTCCGAACAGTTCTTTCTCTGCCCGCCATGATAAAATCATCAGTACATGATGGCATGACAAATTTTGTACAAACATTACATGTCACTTTATGTACACTCAATTGCACATAGAGGGACATGTAATTTTTGATCACAAGTCTTGTACACAATTATTTTGTCCCTTTTGAGTATGCCGTGTCTCATTTTTCTTCTGTCTGATTACAAATATAAAGATTGAGACATGGATACACTACAGTTTGAAATCAGGCGCCGCATGACACAGTAACGTATTGAGTCTGATTCTGTTTGGAAGTATTTAATGGTCGCCACCGTAACCATTTTGCTCAGAAACAAATGTATGTAGTGTCACGCCCCTTTATAGCTGGTTAAGAGAAGTGAAATGCCTTCTTTTGAGAAGTGCACGAAAGCACTTGGGACCAATAAACGGTGATTACGAGTGGAGGTTCAATTTGCTAGGTAATAATATCTGTAAACGGACGCCGAGAAATGCGTCCCTCAAAACCATATGGCTGCGACCATTAAATGAGGCTTGACTCAAATAGACTGTCCTTCTGTTCTAAGCACTCTGAGGCCTATTGAAGCCTACACAACATCTCATAATCAAGTGGTCATTTCGTGCACCATGTAATTCAGCACGTGCATAACGTGCTGAATTGCATGGTGCACACTTGTTGCGATATGATGAGCACTTTGAAGTGTAAAAATTATCCGCTTCCATCCAAGTAATCCTGAACATAACCGTAAGAGATGAGCTGTTTTATTCGCGCTGCTCTGAAAAATAGGACTGCTGCAACAGTACGACTACATGTATTAAAATGCGTTCCATCTGTGGTACAGTTCGGCAACTAGTCTTCTACATGGACAAACTGTATGAACTGAACTTTCAATTCAGTTCATGTCGCATCAATGTTTGATATGTGTTACAAGGCAGGTCGGAAGAGACATCAAAAACTTTTAGGGCAGGTTTTTCGGTCTCTTAACCGAGTCGAGGGTTCTTCGGACTAATGTTACAAAGGGGCTTTTGATGTGCTAGCCATTATTCAGAGGTCCGCCACACTGCCCCTAAGTAGTATTTTTCGTATGGAACGACTGTTAAATTTTCAAAGCCTGGGATAAGGAAGCCATGCTATGGCTTGGAAGGATGCATAAAAATATGAAAATTAAATACCAATCATGCGCAGGTTGCTAAAACGTCAAAACCTAAGGAGTTTTCACAAAAATGACCATGACATTCATGTGGGAATATAAAGATTTCATCAATGGAGTCCGCTTGAGTTGTTGATTGTACGTAGCAAACCCTAACATCAGTTAGTGCTTTATCGCAGAGAGCACGAAGAGAACTAAACTGCGCAGAGACGGAGAAACAAAATTCATTGAATTGGCAATTGAATGAGGCCCAAAGGCCAAAATAATTTTTTGGCCTAGACGCGCCTCCAACCCCACCCGGAAAGCCAAAAATAAGTTCGCGGCATAAATTGAATATGATTTTTTGGGGTCTCGGATAGACACCAAAACCAAGGGCGGTACTCTCGATCGATCGTTCTTCCCTCTCACCCCACGAAGGTCGAAGAACGACGATCAGTTGACTTCGCAAACGCGATATCTGCACACACGCAGTATAAAGCCATACATTCGTGTCAAGTTTAAGGAAGCGTAATGGAGCACACTTTTGCCGATCCTAATGATGCCCTTGCTCAAGACATATCGGCAGATATCTGTATGTTTGTCGAGGCGGTCAATGACAAGACGATCAACTATGCAGAGTATGAGGAGAATCGTGTTGATGAAGGGGTAGGGTGCAAACGAAACAGAGATTCATCGCTGCATTCCGTGAGTAAGCCTCTGCTACAGTCTCCCGATGATTTACCTCAAGACCACAGTGAAGTTCAAACAGCTTGTCATGTGAACAATCGAATCAAGAGAAGCGAAAGGCTCGTCGATCCAGCCGCACAAACGTCATTGGAACATGATAATAAGCAATACGACTTGAGTTCTCCCAATCCGTCTGTTGTGGGGCCCGGCAGTGCCAGTGCCTTTGCATCAATGAGCAAGCGGGATCTCATTTCTCTTCTGGGAAATACGGGTCCTCAGATAAATGATGATCAACATGTGAAAAGCAAATGCAACGTGCCTTATCGTGAAGGGGATTTGGATTTCTATCCGAAACCCCCGAATCAAGTCGTGTCCTTCTCAGTTGATGAGATATCAAAGAACTGGATGTATCGCAGCGAACATGGAGATTTCATCCAAGTACCATTCGGGAGTACTGTCTGGATGAGTAAGTGGCTCTTACAGAAGAAAATAATTGCCCCCTCCTTTGCACCTGTGCGAGAGTGGCAGGTCACGTCACTTCGATCAGGAGGTAGAGCTCGCCAATCCAAAAGAACGAAACTAATCTTGCAATTCTGCTCAGAATCCTTCAAGAAGGCGGATATTTTTAAGACCTTCCGGTGTTCTCTACACAAGAAAGGAATACATCCATGCTCATCAGAGCTATTTGTTGCTCTTTGTTCTACGCAGCTGGAAGATATCGGTAGAATTTCCGTGGAAGTCGAATGCTCCTGGTCAGCAGGATGCTGTCACCACAAAGATGAACAGAGCTACGGGCGGACGAGGAAAGCACTCCAGGGAGTAGTGGGTTCCCGGACACCACATGGGGTCTGCATTGAATTCAGCAAATCGGCAGACCCAGTGGTATTGGCATCTGGGAATAAGTCATTTGGATATACAAAAACAGAAACTGCAAGAAGAGCTCAACACGAAAATCGGAAAAGAAGCTACAATTGTGGTTTGGATGATCTGCACAGCATCACAATGGCAATGAAAGAACTCGCATGCGAAGATATGAAGCTGGATCCGGCTGGATCCATGCAGTTCTTCGGAGGTATTCATGATCTTCAGATAACCAACACGGGAGAGCTTGAGTCAATATCGATATACAACGCACTTTCGGTCCGGATTGCCGCAGAAGAGATTATGAACAATCCAGCTGCAACTGTGGTTCTTGACTGTAC